AGGCACTTGGGGGCAAGAGACTATGGAAAGAGGAACACAGTAGAACATCTAAGGCCCTGAGAAGAAGCAGGGATGAGACTTTTAGAGAAATTAAGAAATTCAAAAGCAATTATGTATATGGGAAAATTGGGGGGCAGGGAGGGAAACACACACACAGGCCCAGGAAAGATAAATGCCAGAAAGAGCCTGAGATGACCTTAAGCATTAACACCAGAAAGATTGGTGAAAGTCTTCCCTTACATGGGCTAGTTTGCAAAATCGAGAGAAGTGGTCATCTTTTTCAATTGTCTAACTTTCAATAAAATATCATAAGGCATAAAAGGAACAGGAAATCATAGTTCGTTAAGGGGTAAAAATAAATCTCCAGCTCCCCATCCTAAAGAAAAATAGGCTTTAGTTATTAGATAAAGATTTTAAACAACTGTCTTAAATATATGTTCAAAGTGTTAAAGGAAAACACAGACACAAACCTAAAGTAAATTAGAAAAACTACACAGGAACAAACTAATAACTTCAATAAAGAGATAGAAATTGTTGTTAAAAGAACCAAACAGAAATTTTAGAGCTGAAAAATATAGTAACGGAATCGAAAATTCACCAGAGGGGTTCAATAACAGATTCAAACAGGTAGAAGAAAGAATCGATAAACTCGAAGACAAGTCATTTGAAATTGTTAAATCTAAGAGAAAAAAGAATGAAGAAAAATGAACAGAACTTAAGGGAATTATGGGATATTATCAAGCAGACTAATATACATACACATTTTGGTGTTCTATTAATAGAAAAAGAAGACAGAGAAAGAAAGGGGCATAGAGCTTATTTGAAGAAATAATGTCCCCAAACTTTCAGAATTTGAGGAAAGACAAATATAAGAAGCTCAACAAACACTAAGCAGGATAAATCCAGACTCATACCAATGTACATTATAATTAAACTGTGAAAGTGAAAGCAAAAGAGATAATCTCGAATGCAGCAAGGGAAACCAACTCATCATACAAGAGATCTTCAATAAGATTATTAGTGGAAGAAACGTGGTGGATTAGGTGTGACCTCCTGGCTCTCTGCTTCCAGAGTAGGAGGTGAAGAACATGGACGGCTATACAGGAGTGGATTGCTCTCCCACAGGAACAGCATTGTGAATCTGCAGAGAAGCAGTGCAGGACAAGCAGTGCTGGAGAAAAATAAAAGGTGAATTGGCGAATCAGCAAAGTCTGGAGAGTGCGAGATATACAATAGGGAATAGAGCATGTGACGGCCATGCCCATTGCCCGCCAAGGCAGTGGGATCTGACCTACAGGAGGGCAACTCTTCCTCCATTGGCTTCCATAACCACGCAGGCAGGGAAGTGCCTGAAGTCAGTGCGAAGTTGTGCAATGGGATGACAGGCTGTGTGGAGAAGAGACATTAGTGGGAAACATTTTGAACTCTCCAGTACTCTGTGATAAGTCTGCACTAGGCGGGGGAGGGACTGGTATGAGTGGACACTTCCTGGGACTGCAGGAGGGAGTTTGGAGACAGGGATCTCGCCTCTGGCAGTCACTGGGACCAGAACAAAGGAGGTGAACACCGAAAGGGAGGCTCTGCCCCTGGAAACTGCACAGGGTGGGACAGAGAGTGCAGGACCCCCTACTAGATGGGCATGAGACAGTGCATTGGGGAAGCAGTGGGGGCAGCAGGCGGCTCATTGAGACAGCCTGGCAAACCCCGCACCCACTGCCACCTGAGCAGTCGCCTCCAGTGCTGGCCCTCTGTGGGTGGGCAGCTGCCATTTTTGGGGTCCATAGCCTAAAAAAATTGTGGTGCCTTGTGGATCTGTGCACCGCCCCTTCCCCAGCCCAGCAGGGCAAGCCAAGGCAACGGTCTCAGGCTGCACCCCTGTCCCTGCCAGGCAGAGCAGGCCCTGCCTTAGGAGGAGGGAAATAATGAGAGAAGCTGCTTTCTGAACATTCCTCCCCCTACCCTACCAGGTACTTTGCCTTTTGGTGCTGGCAGGACAACCCCACCCCCAGAGGCTGGGTATAAGGAGAGAAGCTGCTTCCTGGACTGAGACACCTGGCGGTCTCAGTCAGCACCCCTCCCCAAGTCTGGCGGCTTGACTTTCCCTCCTACAGGGCAGACTCCACCCTTGGGGGAGGGGAGAAACAAGAGAAGATGTTTTCTGGGCCAGGACATGTAGCAGTCTCAGGCAATGCCCCACCCCCACCAGCCCAACAGGGCAGACTCCACCCTTGGAAGCAGAGAGAAGGGAGAAAAGTTGCTTTCTCTGTGCAACTGGCATAAATCTGTGTGACCTTGGAACTAAGCCAAAGGGGGAAGACTGTTGATCTAGTCCAGCAGGTGGTTTTGATCATTTGATAAGAACATAACACTAGGGCTCACTCCTGGCACCCAGGTTGCTGCCAGCTTTGGGGCTTGTGGTCTGGAATGGAAAATCCTGGCCAGAGTCCTTAGCAATTGCACCAACTGACACCTCCATCTGGAGCTGCCTCACAAATGCAGCAAAATAGACCTGAATAACCTATTAGCAGCTCTCCTCTAGCAGCAGATAAAGCAACCACAGATGTATACACTCTCAGGCTCACATGTACCTGTTGCCCTTACCCTGTCTAAAGTGGCAATAGGGCTCTAGTAACCCTTGGGAGTTATAAGACATTTCCCAAAGATCAGGACACTTTTATACCCCATTCAGGGGTTTAAAGCCCAACACAAAGGCATTGGAATATCTTGATAATCAACTCCTCTATGCAAACTACAAGCAACAAAAAAGAGGGTAACCCCATAGCTCAACACAGTGCCTTCCATCTCAAACTAGTGGAAGGCAGCAGAGTCACACATGCAATAGTGATTCACCACCTGGGAGCTTAAGCAAGGGGTCCAAACTCACTAATCTTATCTGGCAAGAGGTGAAGACAAGTCAGAGATAACACAACAGGCTAAAACACCTCTAAGCAATTCAGAACTAGAGAACTGTCAAGGAACATTCCTTTGGGGACTTGGAGATAAGGCCATAAACCAGCCCCAGCACCCCCAGTTTTTGAGAAAGTAGCCTAGTGAGAAAGAATCAGTGAAAGAACACAGGAAACATGAAATATCAGAGAGAAAAGTCTCCCCCAAAAGAAAATATTCGATCTCCATCAATAGATACCAACTTAGATGATATGATTAAATTGACAGAGGAAGAATTCCAAATATGGATTGCAAGAAAACTCAATGGAATTGAAGAGAAAATAGAATCCCAATATAAAGAAGCCACAAGAACAATAGAGGAAATGAATGAAAAAATCTCCAAAGAACTTGAAATACTACAGAAAAACTAAACGGAAATCTTGGAAATGAGGGAGGCATTCAAGGAACTTCAAAACACACTGGAAAGCCTCAAGAACAGAATGGATCATGCAGAGGAAAGAATCTCAGAGCTTGAAGATAATGCCTATGTGCTAAACAAATCGGATGAAGAAAAAGGACACAGAAACAAAAGACAAGACCAAAACAAACATACAAGAAATGTGGGATTATGTAAAGAAGCCAAATATAAGAATCATAGGCATATCAGAGAGAGAGAAGAAGAAAATACACAGGGCTGGAAAACTTATTTCATGTAATACTGGAGGAAAATATGCCTGGCCTAGCCAGAAATATAGATATCCAGATACAAGAACCATACAGAACTCCTGGGACACTCAATTACTCACAGACTCAATACTATTCAATTATAAAAAACGATGGTGATCTAGCACGTCTTATATTTTCTTGGATAGAGCTTGAACCCATCCTCAGAAGTGAGGTATCACAAGAATGGAAAAATAAGCACCACATGTACTCGCCATCAAATTGGCACTAAATGATCAACATTAAGGTGCTCATGTGGTAATAATATTCTTTAGGGGTTGGGAGCAGGTAATCTCACAACTAATGGACGTAGTGAGTATTGTAAGGGGGAAAGGGCACACCACAAATCATGGTTTAGGTGTGGCAAAGTCATAACATGTAACCAAAATGTTTGTACCCCCATAATATCCTGAAATTAAAAAAAAATATTATTAGTGCATTTCTTAGCACAAATCTTGAAGCCAGAAGACAGTGGGCAATATCTTTAAAGTGCTAAAAGAAAAAAAGTAAGTTGTCAACCAAGAACTCTATATCCAGCAATATTTTCCTTTAAAAACAAGGGGGATAACAAAGGAGAAATTAGGATATTTTTTGATAAACAAAAGTTGAAGAAATTCATTATCGCCAGACTTGCCCTACAAGAAATGCTAAAGGGAGTCTGAAAGTTGAAATGAAAGGAGGTTAGAGAGTAACCCAAACATGAAAACATAAAGTTCTCTTGTAAAGGGAAACAAACACATGGACAAATACAAAAACCAGGATTATTGTAATTTTGATTTGTAACTCCATTTTTTACTTGTTTATAGTACTTAAAAGATAAGTCATAAAATTAATTATAAATCTATATCAATGGCTACACAATAAACAAAAATATTACCTGTGACATCAAAATAAAATGTGAGGGGGGCAGAACTATAAAGGAGTAGGGTTTTTGTATCTGATTGAAGTTAAGCTATAATAGTATTAAATAGATTGTTATAACTGCAAGATGTTACATGTAATCCTGATGTAACCACAAAAAATCTATAGAATATACATAAAAAGAAATGAGAAGGGAATCAAAATGTATCACTACAAAAAAATCAACTAAACACAAAGGATAGCAGTAAGAGAGGAAATGAAGGACAAAACTGTTATAAAATATAAGGAAAACAATTAACAAAATGGCGATAGTAAATCCTTATCTATCAGTAATTACTTTAAATGTAAGTGGACTAAACTCTCCAATCAAAAGATATAGATTGGCAGAATGGATTTAAAAAACAAGATCCAACTATATGCTGTCTTAAGCTACTCCTACATGATAGAATATCATAAAATCAATTTTAAAAACTTTCAGAATTGCTTTTGCAATTAAAATGCATACAGTATAATATTCATTTTAAAAAGCAAAACCATATTTATATTATAATCCAAAATGTATACAGTAATATTCATTCATTCACTTCCTCCTCTCTGCTTACTTCCTCTCCAGTCCAACTCACACATTTCAAAAATTCTCAACCAGATTTCTGGCCTGGGCAATGAGGAAAGTCACTTTATACTCTGAAGGCAGAGATGTTTCATCAGATTGTGAGACTAGGTTAAATAATAAATTATGGCATCAGACAGGGTTTTCTGCAGAGACAGCCTGGATCCAAACGCTGCTTCTCCACTTATTAGATATGTGATTTCTATAGGTTAGTTCAACCCTTGGAATCTCAGTTTCCTCATCTAGAAAATGGGGAGAATACTAGTGCCGTCTAATCAGAGAATTAAATACAAAGCAATTGATGCGGAACATAAAAAATGCTCTCTGTAACTGAGGATTCTATTATTCTTAGGGTTATTATGGAAATTCAGAGAAAGCAAACAGAAGGGAGTGGGAAGGAAGACACCATGAAAGGCATACAAGTCTTGAGTAGTAACATATGAATGTACATTCATGGAAAACTTAAAAATTGTATCAACTCTCCAGCTCCACCTCAGGGGAATTCTCTCTTCTATACAACGATGGTACTGGGTGAGTCTTCAGGTTACAGACATTTCCAGCTGGGACTTAGTAGCTGGAAACCACCCATTGTCTACTATAAATCCTAGTATCACCACTGCTTCTTTCTTGGTTTGTGTCTTGGGAAAAGACAAACCAAGCACTTGGGGTATTCCACAGAGATATTAACCTCTAGGGGCCACAGGGTTCCTCTGGACATACCCTAAAGCCACGCTCAAGAAGGCAGTTGATAGGGGAGAACTCTAGTTAGACACTCGAGGAAGATGGATGACCTGACTTAGGTAAACGTGTCAGATGCTCATGTGCACATTCAGGAGGTCTATGAGTGTAGCCTAAAGTCAAGCCCAAGTTTGAAGAGTTGAATTCCAGTTAGACTCACTATGCCATTAGTTGAAGGTTTAAGAACTCAGACTAACATGAGTTTACCGACCTTGCAATTAGAGCTTCCCACTCTGCTGCAATTATGAAGCACTGATTATGTACCAGATACTTTTATCTGTTATCTTTTCTTCAAATGGAGTTTATCTCCATTTCACAGATGAAACCACAGAGAAATGAGGAAATGGCCAGGCTTGCAATTGAACCCTGAAGTATAAGCTTAGTCCACAACACTGATAAGCCGAGGCAGATGTGAACCTTGCTTTCACACCTGTCAGCCTAGCGGGATCAAGAGAGGGAGAGTGAGGCCATCTCTGTTCTCACCACTCCATCACTGATGCCCCCTCACCTTCTCCATCTGAGCCCAGTAGTCCAGCACACAGCTTGCAAAGTTAAATTCCTCAGGCACATCATGGTCATTCCATCTTGCAGCTCCAGCATCGGATGAAGACTGGCAGCGCAGTGGCCAAGGGGCAGGGTGGAAGCCATGGGAGGATTTGTGGATGGCCCCAAAGACCCGGAACCTTGTCAGCCACTGCATGGTGGAACAGTCCTCAGGAACCAGCTCAGAGTTCTAAAGTCACCACCTGCCTTGGGAAGAGATGCCTAATAGGTTGGTTACATAGCAGGGACTTTCTTCACAAAATAGATGCACGTTGCTGGTTAGTTGTTGGAGTTGCAGCTTTGCTTCAGCTCACCAGCATCTGGAAGGCACAACTCATTGGTTTAGGTAAGGATTTGTGGTCACAGCTAAGGAACCATGAGGCAGAAAATGCTGAGGAGGGGCTGTAGCTACTATGCAAAGTTGGTACACATTCCCGGGAGGTCATCTCCTTCTTTGATACCACTGGGATCAAAGCCCAAGATGGCAGCCATGTGGCCATTCCGTTTGTGGTAAAAACTCACCATTTTGAAAGTTATGTGCCCAGCACTGTCCTTACTTTGTAGATCTTTTCCCCTGTCAAGCCCAATCATGTGGTTCCCATAGACATTGTCATATCTTTAGATGACCTTGCCCTCCAACAAAAGTGGACTGGTTAGGAGTTGAACAGTCATTTCCTATGACTTTTTTTATGACAAAGAATTTTTTATTTTTATTTTTTATTTTTACTTTTTGCCTGTACAGATAATTCAAGAAACAATAAGCTGCAACAAATAGAAGGGCTTCTTTCTTTGACATTAATTTCTTCAATAAGATCTAATTTCTTATACATGTGCAGGGAAAAAAAAACCACATTGCAAACTTTAAAGGGAAAATTATTGAGAGAAAATATTAAATGATACTTCAAAATTTTATAACCTCTATATTCCATCAGGCATTATTTCTTGAAATTCTACTTATTAAAAAAAAAACACTCTTCCACTAAAAAAGGATTTAATGGGTTCCATTATTATAGGTGTCCTCCTTAAAATATTAACTCACTGTTTTCCCCAAAGATAGTGGAAATAGCCCCTTAATAAGTGGCTAAAGACAAAAACAAAAGGGAGATATATAATGAGGAATTTTTATTAACCCTTTATTACAAGTTGAATTGTGTTCCCAAAATGCATATGGTGAAGTCCTAACTCTGATATTTCAGAATGTGACTGTATTTGGAGATCGGGTCTTTCCAAAGGTAATTAAGTTAAAGTGAGGTCATTAGGGTAGGCCCTAATCCAGTGGCTGGTGTCCTTATAGGAAGAGGAGATTAGGACATAGACATAGAGAGAAAGAGAATGCCATGTGAACATGCAACCAGCCATCTGTAAGCCAAGGAGAAAGGCCTCAGAAGAAACAACCTTAATCTTGAACTTCTAGTCTCCAAAACTGGGGAGAAAATAAATTTCTGTTGTTTAAGTCACCTGGTCTGTGATAATGTGCCATGGCAGCCCCAGCAAACTAAAATACCCCTCTTGACAAAAGTCTTAAAAAATGACATGGGTGTGGAGCACACCGTATGGGGGATGGACACGCTTGTAGCTCTGGCTTGGGCGAGGCAAAGGCATTACATGTAACCAAAATGTTTGTCCCCCCATAATATTCTGACATTAAAAAAACCCCAAAAGACAAAAAAAAAAAACAACAGAAAATGACTTTGGCATCATCTGATAACTGTGTTTCCAATGCTAATTTAATCTTCATCGCATAAGAGGGCCAAACCCAGTGACGAGCACTGCCGTAGCTGAGAGCCTGGCCTTAGGAGTCCAACAGCACAGATTTAAATTCCTTTAATTCACCACCTACATAACTTCGGGCAATTTACTTAACTTATAAATTTACTTCCCTGTAAAACACGAAAATATTGGCAACATCTATCACCTAGAGTTGTGGTGACGAATGAATAACATCCTACATGAAGCATTTAGCACAGACCCAGCACAGAGAAGGTACTCTAGAAATAAGAGCTCCCATTAGTGAACACTGTCTGGGAAAACTTTCATTGTGTAATTAAGCCTGATAAAAAGAAATGGCTCCCTAACCTTCTAATTAGAGCCTAAAGGAAAGGAATGAGGATAAATTCTTAAATATAGACATCATAGGGTCCAGGTTTTGCACTGATATGTGTAAATATATAAGAACCTGATCTCACAGTGTTGAGAGGACTGAAATTCAGAGATATCGGTATGTCTATCTCTTTTATAGTTATATCTATTTCTATACCTATGTCTACATTAATATCTATAATTATACCTATATTTATCACTATCTCTTGCAACATATCTATATCCATATTGATATTGACATCTATATCAATGACTACATCTACACTATAGTCATGTGCTGCATAACATTTGGCCAATGATGGACCACATATACAATGGTGGTTCCATAAGTTGATAATACTGCATTTGTACTGTATGTTTTCCAAGTATAAATATGTTTAGACACACAGATACTGCAGCTGCAGATTGAGAGCAAGGTTGCCTGTTCAGGGACCCACTAGGAGACATGCTCATCTGTACTACCAGAGACAGGCCTGAAGATTTCAGTCTCAGCTTTAGCAACCCTGCAGCTTGGTTCCAGCCTCTCTCACCTGTGGACTGGGGTGGTATCGCCTGTCCAAGGACTCACTCAGTGACCCAGCAAGAGCTCTCCCAGGGACCTGTAGGAAGTTATACCCCTCTGCAAACCAGTAAAGGCTTGTTGTCTTTGTACCCTGAAATAGATCCTCATTCCAGCACTAGCCCTTTGGACCAAGGTTCTGGAGACAGTGTAATCTACTCAAGGATCAGACTGGATCCAAGCCTGCTAGAGCCTGTGGTAGCAGGCCCACCCACTGTGAACTCCACTGTGGACTGAGCAGCAGCCACGTGACCTGGCTTCAAAGGTATTTGACTGTGATCCCAGAGGCAATACCAACTGCCCAGGAACCTAACAGACTTTAACTTGCCAAAACCAGTTTGTAAGAGCTGGAAGAGGAATTTGCTTTTTCAAATGCACAGACACCAATGCAAGGGTACATGAATAACAAAAAAATCAGACAAGCATGACACCACCAAAGAAAACTAATAAAGCTCCAGCAACTTACCACAAAGAATTGGAGATCTATTAATTGCCTGAAGGGAAATTCAAAATAATCATCTTAAAGAAGGTCAATGAGATACAAGAAAACACATATAGACAATGAAATGAAATTAAGAAAACAATGCATAGAAGCTTTTCCTCTAAAAGCAGGAATAAGACAAGAATGCCCACTCTTACCACTTCTATTCAACATAGAAGTTCTAGCCAGAGCAGTTAGGCCAAAGAAACAAATAAAAGACATCTACTTTAGAAAGGATGAAGTAATTGTCTCTGCTTGCAAATGACATAATCTTATATATAGAAAACCCTAAAGACTCCACCAAAAAACTATTAGAACAAATAATAAATTCAGTAAATTTTTAGGATACAATTTCAACATACAAATTTTAGTAGTCTTTCTATACTCTTAACAATGAATCATCTGAAAAAGAAATCAAGAAAACAATTCCATTTACAATGGGGGGGGGGAAGGATAACCACTTAGGAATAAATTTAACCAAGGAGGTGAAAGACCTGTATACTTCAAACTCTAAAACATGATGAAAGAAATTTAAGAAGACACAAATAAATGGAAGGATATCCTGTGTTCATGGATTGGAAGAATTAATATTGTTAAAATGTTCATACTACCTGAAGCAGTCTACAGACCTCTGACCTTGACCAAAAAGAGCAAAGTTGGAGAGATTACATTACCTGACTTCAAAATATACTATAAAGCTATAGTAATAAAAAAAGCATGGTACTCACTTTTAAAAAGGCACCTCCACCAATGGAACAGAATAGAGCCCAGAAATATATCCATGCATTTATAGTCAGTTGATTTTTGACAAAGGTGCTCAGAATACACAGTGGGGAAAGGATAGTCTCCTCAAAAAATATTATTGGGAAAACTGGACATGCACTTGTGGAAGAATGAAATTGGACGCATTATCTCATACCATATACAAAAATCTACTCAAGATAGATTATAGATTTAAACAAAGACCTGAAACCATAAAAGTACTGGAAGAAAACATAGGACAAAAATCTCCATGACACTGGTTTAGGTAATAATTTTTTGGATATGAACCCAAAAGCACAGGTAACAAAAGCAGAAATAGACAAATGAGATTACATCAAATTAAAGAGTTTCTGCCTAGCCAAGGAAACAGTCAACAGAATGAAGTACAATCTATGTGATGGGAGAAAATATTTGCAAACCATACATCTGACAAAGAGTTAATATCTAATACATACATATGTAGTATATTGGATATATATATATGTGTGTGTGTGTGTTTATATATTTATATAGAAAACTCAACTCAATAGTAAGAGACAAATAATCCAATTAAAATGGGCAAAGGATGTGAACTGGCATTTATAAAAAAGACGTACAAATGGCCAACTGATATATAAAAAATGTTCAAAATCATTAATCATCAGAGACACACAAATTAAAACCACAATGAGATATCATCTCATACCTCTTAGAATTGCTATTATCAAAAGTGTTGGAGATGATATGGAGAAAAAGGAACACTTTTAAAGAGTATAAGGATATACTGTTGGTGGGGATTTAAATTATGATAGTGAGCCATTACAGAAAACAGTATGGACGTTCCTCAAAAAATTAAAAATGGAACTACCATATGAAACAGCAATCCCTCTACTGGGATATCCAAAGGAAATAAAATCAGTATGTTGGAAAGATATCTGCACTTGCACGTTCACTGTGTGGCGCTATGCATAATAGCCAAGATGTGGAATCAGCCTAAGTGACCATCAGTGGATGAATGGATAAAGAAAATATGATATATATACACAACAGAATACTATTCAGCCTTAAAAAAAGAAGAAATCCTGATATTTGCAACAACATGAATGAACTCGGGGGACATTATGCTCTTCTGTAATTGCTCACTGCTCAGGAGTCACACAGCTGATGGCCATAAAGATTCTTAGCTTTCTTCATTGCTTTCGTAGAGCAATGACCTCTGTGAAACCTAAGGCTAGCCTTTGAGATATCTTTCAGACTCTTTAGTCCAGTAGACCAACTGACCCAGCCAGACCAGTAGCTCGTACCAAGGAACCAACCCAACTGGTCATGTTACCTGGGAACAGACTCAGCACAAGAAGACAATTTCTGTTTCCCGACTCTATAAGTTCATCCCCAGGCAGTCAACAGATGCAATTCCCAAGCCCTTTGACCACCAAACTAGCTACAAAGACCCTGGCCCCAGATTCTTGGGGAGATGGATTTGAGAAATTCCTCCCATCTCCTCATATGGTGCTGTGCGATATTAAACTCTTTCTGCACTGTAACCGCTGTTGTCCTAGTGTATTGGCTTCCCCTTGAGCAGTGGGCAATGAACCTGGTTGGGTGGTAGCATTGACACCCTGGCCCCTCAAATCAATTGGGGGATGGATGCTTCACGTAACCCCAGGGGGCTCTGTTGCTCTTATCCCAGAACCCTCTTCTTTTTAGGGTGCTCAGCCCCTGGATGGATGTGGCAGATGGAAAGGCACCCCAAAATGGGTAGAAAAAAGTGACCGAAAAAGGTCCTGATTCATCAAAAAGCTCATCTTTGTTTCTGTCTGTGAATACCCTGCTCTCCTGACCAAACCTCCCTTCTCAGCTCATTTCTCCTCTCCACACCCTCTCCTGTGGGCAGACAGCCTCTCTTGGTGTCCTGATCAAAAGTAGCTAAAATGAAGCAAGAGGTTATTTCTGTTCATAGTCCACACAGCTTGTTTGCGGTGCCCGGGCTGACTACCCCTGGACTGACCAGCCAGCTTTGTTCTCTTGCCTGCCCCTGCTGCTTAAACATTCACCCTTTTGGTTGTTTACTTGGACCCTGTTAGGTGCTTCCACAGGCATTATCTGCTCGAATCTCTACTGCAGTCTTACAGCGATGTTGGATCACTCCTATTTCCTGGATAAGGTAAATGAAGCTCAGAGCAGGCAGGGCAGGAGTAACAGAATTAGAACTCAAACTCATAGGCTTCGACTCCAATAGATGCTTTCCCCACTGACCCTTGGCTCCTTCCTTTTGGGTAAGATGACACTCAGCATTTGCCTGCTTGCTGAGTTCTCCTCATGGTTCCATTCTCCCCTTCTTCTCCCCCTACTCACATGTTTCTCAAGCTCCAGTCATCCGTAACTCACCTGCATGTATTTATTTATTTACTTATGTGTTTACTATAACCATACACTATTTTACCTCTCTCCTTACTTACTCAATAGCTTCTTATGTTGCTTTCCTTAAAAATTTCTCATGGAAAAAAATGGGAAAAAAGTTTTAATGGAAAAATCTATTAATGGAAATAAAACTCTAAATCCCTACTATAATTAAGAAACAAGCCACAAGTGTGCCCATCCCCCAGACAGTGCACTTTGCACCTGTTAGTTATGAATTTATCCTTCCTCTCCATCACCCTCCCACCTGCCCAGCACCCGATGAATATTACTTCCACGTGAACACCTAAGTGTTGCTGAAATTTTAAAAGAGAAAATAAATAAATTAAAACAATGCAAAACAGACAGAAAAACCATTAACAAAATAGCAATAGTTAGTCCTTAACTATAAATAATTGTGTTATATGTACATAGATTAAACTCACTAATACAAAGATTCAGTGTTTCAATGGATAGAAAACCAAGATCCAACTATTTGCTATCTACAAGAAACCCACTTTAGATTTAATAGATGGAAGGAAATAAAGATTTGAGCAGAAATTCTTCATTTAAGAAGAAATGAAGTTGTATGCCTCAAATATATATAACGTTTATTTCTCAATACCACCTCAATAAAGCTGGAAAAAAATCAAATTTTACACGCCACAAACAGATGAAACTAAAAGTGAACACAATGAACCACAAATGTTGGGGTTATTGTTTCCCATGTGAGTCTTGTTGCCTGCCAAGTATGTGAGACGACTCCTCTGTTCTCTTTTTGGTAAAGGCGAGACTAAGGTTGTATCAGATACTTTATTGCTATGACAATGTCGCATAACAAACAACTCTGAAATCTCAGTGGCTCACACCAGCTCATTCATTTCCCTCTCACCAGTCTGCAGGTAAGCTATAGGTGGGGTTTCAGTCTGCTCTGCGACGCTTTCAGTTTGAGACCCCCTGACTCACCAGGGCATGCTACCCCCGTGAAGATAGCAGACACACCACACATCAAGTCGAACCATAAGCATGTTTAAAAATTCTGCTTGCAATTTATACTCTCTAACACTCTAGTGGCCAAAACAAGCTAGGCTCAAGCCCAGCCTCCGCGGAACAGAGAACTGCTTTCCTCCCTTGGAGTGGGGTATGGAGCAAGTAAAGAGTGAATATTTGCTGCATAAAAAATATTCTCCACCACAAAGGAGAGGAAGACACAGAAGTAGCAAATGAAAGTTTCAACTGACTCAATTGAAGAGGACTGGACTAATCTCCATTCACGTCCTGGTAGTTAGCTCACTGCCATCCTGAACAAAATCAGAGTCCGTGTAGCGAGAAACAAGGTTGCATGCAGGTCGTTGTTGGGGTTGGCTGCTGGGTGGGAGAAAGGAGAGTTGGGGACAGGTGTTTAAGTCCCTCCTTCACAAGTCACCAACCTAATTCTGTATCTCTTCTTTTGCTCCTTCTCCACATTCATTTTTATTTCAAGAGTGGACTACACTAGCTTCTCCCATTTCTTTCCATGTCTCCCTGGTAAACCCACAACCATCAGTCTTCTATCCACAGTTAATCAACTGAACTGTTTTTTTCCTCTTTTGATAACTCTAATGTTCTTTCTGCCAAATGCAATGGATCCTTTTCATTAGTTCTTACCTGTGGTTTTTCATGGCAATGCTAATAATTCCTCTTGAATTATTGCCTTCCATCTTTCTGTTATCACCCCGGCCTTTTCTGAATCTTTGCAGTAAATATTGTCCGTGAAATCCTCTTCCTCTGTCTACCCTTTAAATATGATTGTTCTTAACAGACCCATCCTTGGCCAACAGTTCCTCCCATTTCATATGCAATGTTTGCCCACCTCATTCTCTCCCTGTGTGTAGGTAATTCCCTAAAACACATTTAAAACCTTGACCTCTGTCTGGTTTCAAGCTAAATATCTAACTGATCACTAAGTAAATTTACTAAATGAGTATTAGTTTTACATTGGAACTCTAAGTCACAAAGGAACTCAGTTCCCACCTCCAAACCTGTTCAACTCAGACAGCCTTAAATGACAGACCCAAGTTTATGTAATGAAACCTAGACATCATCTTTCAATTACCCCATCTCCCACATTTAGTCATTCCGTCTCCAATTGTAGGAAGAAGGAATTCTCCTTCTAAGCAGTTCTCAAATTCCCCTTTAATGTAATCAATATTCAGCTATCAGGGTAATCATTTCAAAATACATAGTTGACTGAGTTCATTACTCTCCTTAAAATACTTTCATGGCTCATCTTTCCTTCCAGATGAATTCCAAACTCTTTATCATGTGGTAAAATGACCACTGGCTCTGTCATTCTACAAGTTGAACCTGATCCTAAGATGGAATGTAAAGAAGGTGACTTCCTTTCTCTCCAGGATACTAAAGTGTAAGTTCTCTGGCTGTTCTTGGCAGTGCTAATCAATTCTGCAGTGACGGTAGGACACAGAGCATAAATTGCTGGTAGGAATAAGAAGTGAGAATACCAGGCACAAAAATTCAGTAGGAGGAACCAGTCCTTGGTTCCGTTCTCCCCAAAGCCCCATGGTCTGTCTCCCAGGAGGTCACTATGTTGATGCTGAACTTAGTGCAGACAACACATTGGCACAGCTCACACGACAACCCACAACTCCTGGGCTCCAGCAGCCCTCTTGCCTCAGCCTCCCGAGTACCTGGGACTGCAGGTACATGCCACCACACCTGGCCTCTGTTACCACTCTTAGCAGTTGTTTGCACTGTTTGCTCCCAGACCTTAGCTTTTCTGCTCTTATTATACTACAGAATTAATAGAAAAGCAAAACACTTCTTCAGTCTGTCTTGCTGTCAAAGCGCAAAACTAAAAGGAGACTGACAGGTGCTCAGCCTTCAGCCTGGGTCCCAGGATGATAAAACAGGTGGAGTTGAGCTGAGCCCAGCATGGCTACTGCCAACACATGGACCCATAAATAGGGTTACAAGCTATAGAGATGTTAGGATGTTTGCAACTGTAGCAAATGATGACGAATACAAGTAGCATCTACTTTTCTAAGCTGAATCTTGACTGATACATCTTATATACTATGCACCAAGAGCACAGGGCCTATCACCATACTTCAGAAATTATAGCTGTTGCAATTGTTCCCGTTTACATTCCTTGCAGGGAGTATAGTTTCAAGGCTGTGTAGACTGGTTTTGATATCTGCTATGTGCACCCTGATGAGGTTGTAGAATTTAAGTCTAATGATTTTTGATTTAAGGAATTCACTCAGCAGTCCAGCCAATTTGTTAATTTCCATGCCCTTTTGTTTAGGAAGCAGTAGCCACAATGCTCAAGGTGTCTGACAATTCTGTCTCCTCTTTTATTTTCTATAGAATAAGAAGTCGGTATTCTATAGAATACCATCAGCTCCTGGGCATGAATGTCTATTGCCTTTGCACCCACTGGTCCCTTTCTTTTTCCATAACTGGCTCTTTCTCATTCTTCTAGCCTCAACTCCTCTGAGACATCTCCTTGCCTGACAACCACCCAGGTTCTTCCAACCACCCTTCTCCCAACCACCCCAGTCCCTCACTTTCTCTGTGCTAACGGTGCCTTTCTCTCTGCCCAGTGCCTCCTCACTGAGACCTGGCAGACACTCCATTTCACAGTGCCCAGGAATTGCAGATTGCTTTTCTCTGGGGATTGGCACTCTCTCACTGGTCATAACTCCTAAAGATTGGTGAGTGTCATCGTGGGGCATGACCCCATCAGTCCATTCCTTGCAACAGTGCTCACCTGTTGAGTCCTTTCAGGATTTCTCTCTGGGGAGAGCTTGGTCCACCCTCGGATGTCCAGCAAAGAGCCCAGATTCCCCTGCAGTCCTGGAGGAGAGCACAGCTAACCAAGCAGACAGCTCCAGATTCCCTGCAGCCTTGAAGGGGAGCCGAGATAATCATTAACAGTGGATAACCCTGGAGTCTTATGGGGTAACAGCAGTCCTCCTAGCCAAGTTCACAGGCTGCACAGCCCTAGAGCCCTGGGAGCCAACAGGACCTGCTCTTTCAATCCAAGAGGCTGAAAGCAGGTTCATGGCCGGGACTGACAGCGAGTTATTCCTCCAGCTAGAGAGAGAGAAATGGAGCTCCAGTGGACTTGCCGAACTCTCTCACCTCCTTTAATCCTTCCCTTCACTTGCTTCCAGCACACCCCATTGGCCTGGCTTTCCTCTCACTCCCAGTCTCTTCTGCTGACCCCTCATCATCTCCTTTATCCACACTCACTCCGCACATGAGCTTGCCCACTGCCGTGGCTTGGCCATCGCCTGCCTTGCCAGGGACCCCGCACGTGTGTCTGCAGCCTGCATCTCTCTCCTGCATCCTCACCTGCTTGGCTTCTCCTCCTGGATGTCCAACAGGCCCCTGGACCACGCATAATCCAATGCTGAGCACCTGCTACTTCCCCTCCCTGCAAATCTTCCCCCTGTAGCCACCTTCTCATCCATCTTAGCAAACGGCAACCTGTTCTTTTAGGTCTTCCAGCATCAAAGCTTGGAGTCTCTGACTCTTTTCTTTCACACCTGGATCTGGAAATCCCCCAGATCCACTTGCGAGTTATATCCAGGCTCTGACCCATTCTCTGCCCTGATCCAAACTACCATCTTCTCTCCTCACGCAGGTGTTTCATGCCTTAATGACAGGTCTCCCTCCTGCCCTCATCCCCTGTGATCTATTCTCAATGCAGCAGCCAGAGTGAATCAGATTTGAATCTGAGATCAGATGGTGGACTCCTCTGAGTAAAATCCTGAGTCCTTGCTCTCATCTACAAAGCCATTACCTCAGTGCCCTCTTCTCCAAAAACTCTTTCTCTTGCTTATTCTGCTCCGGTCACATGGACATCCTTGCTGTTCCACCGGCGTGTCAGACACACCCCTGCCTCAGGGCCTTTGCACTTGCTGTTTCCACTGCCTGAAATTCTCTTCTCCTAAACATTCAAATGATGAGCCTCCTTGCTGCCTTGGACTCCTATAAAAAGTCATCTCGGTGATTCCTTTTCTGCCGACCTGTTCTCATATCACAGCCTCTGCCTTCCTTGGCACTCTTCTCTGTGCATGTAAGTGTCTCCCTCCCCGCGTGTGTTTTGCTCAGCGTTCCTCTCCCCCGTGTACCTCACAAGCTCTCCGAGGGCAGGGATTTTTATGTTTGGTTGCTCTTATTTCCCAATTATAAATCAGTGTCTTGTACATCTCAGGGAGTTCAATAAGTATTAATATCTGCTGAATAAATTGTCCCTCTCCATCCTCAGAACAATTCTAGGAAACAGAGATTACTTTTTTATTTTATTTTATTTTTTTGAGACAGAGTCTTGCTTTGTTGCCCAGGCTAGAGTGAGTGCTGTGGTGTCAGCCTAGCTCACAGCAACCTCAGACTCCTGGGCTCAAGCGATCCTTCTGCCTCAGCCTCCCGAGTAGCTGGGACTACAGGCATGCGCCACCATGCCTGGCTAATTTTTTCTATATATATTAGTTGGCCAATTAATTTCTTTCTATTTATAGTAGAGACGGGGTCTCTCTCTCTTGCTCAGGCTGGTTTTGAACTCCTGACCTCGAGCAATCCGCCCGTCTCGGTCCCCCAGAGTGCTAGGATTACAGGCGTGAGCCACCGCACCCGGCCCAGAGATTACTTTTAACTCCCTGAAGAGATGAGGAAACTGAGGCTCAAAAACATTAATCCCCAAATCCAACGGCCAGTGGAAAGCAGAGCTAACATCTAAATGTCTGTTTTAGCTCCCACTCTGCATTGTTTTTACTGGGTTTTTTTCCCCAGCACTCCATGGAAAGCTCAGGAATCTCAGCAATGCAGCAGCGTAAGCTCAGGTTGGACTGAGGCCTGCCCCGCCCCCACGTGATCTGGGTAATGATTTTCCCTCTTCATCCACCACCAGAGCCACCTCAAGCTTCTCAGTTTCATTCTAATGCTCGTTCCGTTTTCCATGGCCACGAGATATTCAGGGAAGCGGTGAGTGAGTGTATGGGCCTGGGATGAAATACCAGACAGAAATCCACACGCTCACAGCCTGCAGATCTTGATGAGGTGCCAGCATTTCACAAAGGGGGGGAAGACAGCCTCTTCAAAAAATATTTTTGGGAAAACTGGATTTACTCACATGGAAGAGTGAACTTGAACCATTACATCACACCATGTACACAAATCACCCCAAAAGGGAATGGAGGAAAGACATAAACATAAAACCTGAAACTGTGAACATATTAGAAGAAAACATAGGGAAAAAAAGGTTCTTGACATTGGTCTGGGGAATTATTTTTTGGATATGACCCCAAAAGCACAGGCAACAAAAGCAAAAATCCACAAATAGTACTTCATCAAACTAAAAACCTTCTGCACAGCAAAGATAACAGTCAACAGAGTGAAGAAATGACCTACAGAGTATTTGCAAGCCACGTCTGATAAGGAGTTAGTATCCAATGTATATAAAGACTCCCAACAACTCAACAGCAAGAAAAGAAATAAGCCGATTGAAAAACGGCTAAAGAACCTGAATAGACAGACATTTCACAAAGGAGAACATATAAATGACCAGCAGGTATATGAACAAATGTTCAACATCAATAAGCATCAGAAAATGCAAATTAAAGCCAAAATGAGATATCGCCTTACGCCTGTTGGAATGGCTATCAAAAGGATGAAAGATACCAAGTATTTTTGGTGAGGATGTAGAGAAAAGGGAACACTTACACAATGTTTGTGGGAATGTAAATTAGCAGGGCCATAATGGAAAACAGCATGGAGGTTCCTTAACATGCTAAAATAGAGCTATCATACGATGCAGCAGTCCCACTTGTGGGTATGTATCCAAAGGAAATGAAACTGGTATGTTGAAGCGATATCTGCACTGTCATGTTTATTGCAGCATTATTCACAATAGCCAAGTTATGGAAATAACAGAAATGTCTGTCAATGGATGAATGGATAAAGAAAATGTGAAATAGATAATACGATAGAATTCTATCCTGCCTTGATAAAGAAGGAAATCCTGTCATTTGTGATGACATGGAAGAAGAAACTGGAGATGTTTCATACTTTGTGTCATAAGTTAGACACAGAAAAACAAATACTACAGGGTCTTACTTATATGTAGAATCTAAAAAAAAATAGTTACACTCACAGAAGCACGAAGTAGAACGGTGCTTACCAGGTGATTGTGGAGGGGGTGGGAGTTGGGGAAAGGTGCAAAGTTTCAGGGAGACAGGAAGAATAAGTTCTGGGGATAAATTGTACAGCATACTGACTATACTTAATAATCGTTTATTGTGTCCTTGAAAATTGCAAGAGAACAGATCTTGAATGCCCTCACACACACAGAAAGATAAGTATGTGAGGTGATGGACACATTTATTATCTTGATTTAGTCACATAAAAATGTATACTCGTATCAAAATATCTGTGTACCCCTGTAAATATACACCTTTTTTGGGGTCAATTATACCTTAATAAACCTGGGGGAAAAAAGAATTCATCAATGGCTTCTGCATTCATCTCAGACACAGTATTGCATTCGTGTCCTGGGTAGGCAGAGCTATTTGGAATAATATTTGGAAGACACTTGGCCATGTCTAGTATATGGCAAGTGTTTTGCAAATGGCAGCTGTTTTTAACAGAGACTTCAGAGCTAGATAGGCAGGGCTGGAATTCTTCTTCCCCAATTATTAGGTCACAGTGATTCTGGGAAAGTTATCACAATGTTCTGGTTCAGTTTTCTCATATTAAGATGAGAATATCAGCACTTGTCATAGGACTGTTGTGAGAATTAAATAAGATAACACATGTAGACTATTTAGAGTAGTGCCTGGTACATAGTAAGACATTTTTTTTTTATTATTAGGGGAGGGGAATAGAAAGATAGGAGAAATGATTATATCAAATGCACCTATTTCTTCATCAAATATAAAAACATAACCACACTTATACTAATGCCTCAGGGTAGGTGCTTTCCTTTTCAATATAGAGATGAAGAAACTGAGACTCAGAGATTTTCCATGATTCAATAATGTTGCTTAAATTTATTGAATGTTTATCATGCTTCAGGCACTGCTCCAAGCCTTTTACATGCTACATGTGGCAAGTCATATAATATAAAACCTTATGTGGAAGGTACTATTATTACCACTATTTTGCTAGTAAGAATATTCTTGCTCAATGATATAAGCTACTCGTCCAATCTCACACAGTCAGGAAATGGCAGACAGAGCACTTAAACTTGGATCTACTTGGCTCTAACTCCATAGTTCTCAGTCAACATGCATGTTTTATAACAAGCATAAAGTCTGCAGTGGCCATGTTTGTGTCAGAAAAAGTAGACCTCAAGACAGTTTATGAAGGATAAAGAGAAATTTCATAATTCAAAATGATAAAATATAAAATTTCATAATTCATAATTTCATATTTCATAATGATAAAATAGTTAAATCATCAGGAAGGTATAAATATCATAAATGTATGCACATTTGACAAAAGAGCTTCAAAATGTGAAGCAAAAATTAACAGGATTAAAGGAAGAAATAGATAAATCCACAATTGGTAATGACAAAAGTTGTGGCAAAATATACAATCAAGTATCTTCATGCAATTGTCATAAAACACTACATTCAAGAACTGCCAAAGCTGAGCGCGGTGGCTCACGCCTATAATTCTAGCATTCTGGGAGGCCAAGACGGGTGGATCCTTTGAGCTCAGGAGTTCAAGGCCAGCCTGAGCAAGAGTGAGATCCGGTTTCTACTAAAAATAGAAAAAATTAGCCGGGCATGGTGGCGTATGCCTGTGGTCCTAGCTACTAGGGAGGCTGAGGCAGAAGGATCACTTGAGTCCAGAAGTTTGAGGTTGCTGTGAGCCAGGCTGATGCCACGGCTCTCTAGCCCGGGAAACAGAGTGAGACCCTGTCTCAAAACAAAACAAAACAAAACAAAACAAAAAACTGCAGAATTCACATGCACACTGCATGTTCAAGACGGATGGTGTGGTGGCTCACGCCTGTAACCTCAGCACTTTGGGAAGCTGAGGCAGGAGGACTGCTTGAGGTCAGGAGTTTGAGACAAGCCTAAGAAACCCTGTCTCTACAAAAAATAGAAAAATTATCTGGGTGTGCTGGCATGCACCTGTAGTCCCAGGTACTTGAGGCTGAAGCAGGAGGATCACTTGAGCCCAGGTGTTTGAGGTTGCAGTGAACTACGATGACACCACTGCACTCTAGCTGGAGTGACAGAGTAAGACCCTGTTTCAAATTATTTCTGGAATTTTATTTTATTAGAATAAAAACTTATTAATTGGCCGGGCGCTGTGGCTCACGCCTGTAATCCTAGCTCTTGGGAGGCCGAGGCGGGCGGATTGCTCAAGGTCAGGAGTTCAAACCAGCCTGAGCAAGAGCGAGACCCCGTCTCTACTATAAATAGAAGAAATTAATTGGCCAACTGATATATATATAAAAAATTAGCTGGCATGGTGGCGCATGCCTGTAGTCCCAGTACTCGGGAGGCTGAGGCAGGAGGATCACTCGAGCCCAGGAGTTTGAGGTTGCTGTGAGCTAGGCTGACGCCACGGCACTCCTCCAGCCTGGCAACAAAGCGGACCTGTCTCAAAAAAAAACAAAAAATAAAAACAAACAAAAAAAACTTATTAATTTAGAAAATCTAAAAATAGATAAAATTAAGAAGATGGATGGTATACTGGGCTGTAGACCAAGTTTTAATAAACTTAAAAGAATGGAAATCAAACAGAGTATATTTTATGACCATCACAGAATTAAATTAGAAATCAATAGCAGTAATATATCAAGGAAAATGACCACATTACATTTCATTAAATGAAACTATTTGGAAATCAGACAAAAAATTATTTGGAATGAAAATATTTGGAAATAGAACAATGCTGTTCTGAGTAATTCATGGGTTAAAGAAGAAATCACATGGGATATTAGAAAACATTTTGAATTGAATTATAATGAAATGTAATGTAGATGCTCTTTAATTTATGATTGGTTTACATCTTGATAAACCCACAGTAAGTTGAAAATATCATAAGTCAAACATACATTTAATACACCTAACCTACAAAACGTCACACCTTAGCTCAGAACACATACATTAGCCTACAGTTGGGCAAAATTATCTAGCACAAAGCCTCTTTCATAAAAAAGCATCGAATATCTCAAGTAATGTATTGAATACTGTACTGAAAGTGAAAAGCAGACTGGTTGCATGAGCACACAGAGTATGGTTTCTACCGAATGCATATCACTTTCACACCACAGTAAAGTTGAAAAATCCTAAGTTGAGGACTATCTGAATAGCCAAACTTATGAGATACAGCTAAAGTCATGCTTAAGGGAAAATCTATAGCTTTTAATGATTACACCTGAATAGAAGAAAGAACTACAAAGGCAATTGTGATTAAGTACTGCTAAGGACGGTGGCAGTATTATAAGAATATACAGGGGTAGAGTTCAGGGAAGGCTTTCTGGAGGACAGAGAAATCGAAAGACAAATTCAAGTGGAGACGGAGCAGGCAGCGGGAGGACGTCCTCGGGCAGAGGGAGCAGAATGCTTTAAAGACTCTGAGAGCGAAAGGATGGGTGTGCTCCGGCCAGGGAAGAGCGGTGGTGGGGGACAGGGAGTGGGAGCAACAGGTGGGAAGCCTTTGAAAGGGCAAGAAGGGGGAAATCCTGATGTATCACAAGCTCAGGAAGCTTCATACATCTCCCAGCTTTCGCAGGTACAATGTTGCCCAAGGGCATTCCCTAACAGAGAGGCCTCAGTCTTTGCACCAGCCTGCTGAGGATTTGCAAGAACAGGACCTAAATGTGTGGGTCAGTCATCTTGGCAGCACATCGCAATGCAGAAATTTGAGCGAGGTAGCCCATTTTTACCCCAGATTCTGTCTTAGGCACCTCTAGTTTGACTTTTGAAATTCACATCACCATGACAACAGGAAAGTTTTTAAAAGCATCACTGGTTCCCAGGGAAAGGGTCCGGAATGCTGCAGTGTCCCGACAGGGCCCTTCCTATCCCCTGCTGCTTCTGGTTCTCTCCAGCACCTAGAAGAACTGCATTTCTTGATGGATCGCCTGAGTGGCACGGAGGCCCCACACCTCGGCCCATTCACACCAAAAAATCCAAACGATCTCTTCAAGACCAAGTGACTTTTCAGGTGACTACAAATGAGATCCAGTTTAGCCAACAACACAGACCAGAATCATCACTCCTTTTGTCCCTACTTGAGAATGACTTCTTCACTGTGTCCTTTCCAGATCACGTACCTACCTTCATTCCTCTCAGGGCCAGAACGAAGGAAGCAATCTCCAATCTCAAATTTTCTCTCAACAAGCTTAAAAAGCCTGCCTCCCGCCCACAAATTTCTCAGTTGAAAAGCCTGCAAGCTCTTTGGCTGGGAGGCAACTTGTGGAGGTTCTTGTCAATCCTGAGCTAACTAGAAAGTTCTAATAGATGCCTGCCAAGCTGATTCTTGTACCAGAGTGTTTGCATTCACTTTGTTCTGTTCCTGTCATTCTTTTGATCCTCGTGCCTCCTTATCTTCCAGGTCTAGCCCTTAACCACTGAGACGCACATCTCCCCAAGCTTGTGTCTGCCTCGACTCTCAGAGCTGGCCATCTTTTGTCCTGCCAAAGAGGACCACAGAGCAGCTCCTTGCAAGGGGAGGCAGGTAAACGAGGCGGGCAGGAGAGAAGAGAGGCTTTCTTGCTTTGGAAATTCACCCAAGCATTACTGTTCAGAGCTTAGCACTCCTTAGGGAAGTTGACCTTCCCTAGTGATGCCAAACAGGAGGTTATAAAATGAGATAATCCTGGAACAGCCAGGCCTTGCCCGCAGCAGCAAGCAATCTTTGCTAACAACTCAGTTCGTGGAGTAAATACTGGATTGAGCCGGAGAAGTTTACCCCAGAGTGGAAAGGAAGGCAGGCAGAAGCCCAGTCTTCCAGACCCTGCTCTGTTCATAATCACTGTGAAGGATTTGGACCGTTCCCATCTGTGAACTGAGGGAGTTGGACCAGATTCAGAGTTTCTCAATATCACCCCTAGTCACATTCCAGGCCCGATAATTCTGTGTTGCGGAGGGCTGATCAGTGGGCTGCTGGATGGTTGACCTCATAGCACAATGTTGAGAACTAAATGAATAAACAGCCCAGCAAAAGAGAAAAGATTATAGAAGATAGTAAGATTATGGATACCTTTGAGAGGAAGGTGGGTTCAAATTCCACTTCTGCCAGCTGCTACCTCTTGGGACCCAGGACCAAGCTACAGCACCTGCCTGGGCTTCAGGATGCACAAACTTACTTAAATGCATTAGTAATAAAATGAGATTATCTATGAAAAGGGCCTAGCATATAACAAAGGTTCAGTAAATCTTGTCCTGGTTCTCTTATTTGGAAAAGCATCTGAAAGTAGAATTGTTTGAAAACTCGAGAAATACCCAAGAAGCTAAGTCAAATTCCAACCTCGGAAGAAAAACTAATGCCAAAATAAAGAAAGAAATTAAAAAATGCACAGTTGACTGAGTTCATTGCCCTGCTTAAATTGCTTTCATGACTCATTGTTCTCCAGATGAAGTCCAAATTCTTCATTATGTGATATAATGACCACCAATGCCTCTGTCATTTTACAAGTCGAACCTGATGCTGAAGTACGATTCAACGTAAATGAGATGACTCTTCTTCTCCAGGGTACGATTGTGTGAGTTTTCCTTCTACCGTGTTTCCCTGAAAATAAGACCTACCCATAAAATAAGCCCTAGCAGGATTTCTAAGCATTTGCACAATGGAAACCCTACCCTCGAATAAGCCCTAGTGATGGGTGTGGCTATGCAGCGTATCTGCACAACCCATGCATTTCGTCACAGAGCAGTAAAAAAGATGAGCAGCCCTTCTCATCTGCCCCATGAGAGCTCTATTGCTTGACATGAGAGATTGGGGCCAACGGTTCTAAAGGAAATAGAATCGCAAGAAATTCAGGATGGAATTTGGGGTTTGAAGAGTTACGATGATGTTCCAGAAGAAGACGACTTAACTATATTTGAATAAATGTAGATTGTTGTACCGTACTTTAAAAAAACAACACATCCCCTGAAAATAAGCCCTAGGGTGTCTTCTTGAGAAAGAATAAATATAAGACCCTGTCTTATTTTCGGGGAAACACCGTATCTACACACCACAGCAGCAAGTCTGGGACACCTCACGTCATCAACGCATGCACAGATGCACGATCCTGGTTGGAGCCCAGTTGCTGGCTGCTCCCTCATGAGGCCTGGTTCACTGTCCTGGCCCTCAATCCTGCGACATTATCCCTGGGTCCTGGAAATAGAATACTTGTTGCTGGTCTGAAGAGTTTCATACATCTTGCCACCCAGCAAGGCTTAATTAAAGTAACGTTTATGGCAGACAAGGAGCTGGGATTCACTTCTTCCAAATCTCATTTGCTTGCTCAAGAGTTTCTGTTCTTAATAACGACACCTTTGTGTGGTCCTCCTGGGATTTGCTAATCAGCATATAACCCAGATAAACACCAGGTGCCTATGTGATCTAGTCCCTGCATAGTATGACACTCATAAAAACCATAGTCTGAGTCCTCAGAACAAAGTTTACTTAATCATAAACCAGTGAAGTTTACTTAAATACCATAGGTCTTGGGGGGGTCACACTGTTTTTAAGTGGAAATCCTCCTAAAACGTGGTTTAGTTTTGTTTTCCTCTATATCCAAAGTTTCCCAGTTATGGCCTACTCTAAAATTTCTCTCTCTGTCTCTCTCTCTGTATATATATATGGATAGTTGGTTCCCTACTTAATAACAGTTGGATTTATGATCTTTCAGATGGAACCTCATTGTAAGTTGAGGAGCATCTGGACTTAGGATGGTTTGGCTTATGATTTTTTGACTTCATGATGGGTTTATTGGGATATTAAATGCCTTTTCAGCATACAATGGGTTTATCAGCATGTAGCCCAATCATAAGCCAAGGAGCATGTGCACACACACGTACACACACGCACACTTCTCTCTCTCTCCACACATACATATATGTCTTTTTGGTTCATTTCTCTGGAGAACACTGACGAGTATAGACCAAGAGACGGGCTTTGTCAACGGCCAGAGCAAAGGCAAGCAAACTGATGAAACGAGTAAAGAAATCAAAAGCAGAGGTGCTGTACCCAGCAAGGCTCATGTTAGAATCTGGCTCTGTCACCTGCTGGCTGTGTCACTTTGGGGAATATCACCTAATCTGTCCACGTCTTTGTTTCCTCTTCTGTAAAATGGAAACAATAATAGTGCCTGAATTCAAGGGCGACTATGAACATGAAGTGGGATTAATATATGCATTTGCTTGGCACAGTGCCTGACTCTTGGCAAGTGCTTGATGAGTGATTAAAACCATTATTACTGTTGTTATTATTACTAAGTATTCCTAAGAAGAAGAAGTATCATAGGCCCCCAGAGAACCTTTGCTTTCTTCCCCTGCTCACTCAAACCTGCGAGGAAGGTTCACCCTCCATTTCTGGGTTTTCGGTGAAGCCCTGATAGTCCTCACCCCCCCACTCCCCCGGACTCACGGACCTGGTGTCCTGGTAGCCCCAGGAACTGGGGTGCTAGCTGACCACAGCCACACTGCCTGCTCGATCTGTCTCCACGGCCTGCCCACCCCACGAGCTGTTGGAAGCACATACTTATCTCATCCCTCCCTTTCTTCCTTTTCTTCAAAGGCCATTCTCAGGATCTTGATTGTAAAATAATTTGATTATTTGATTCTGGGAACAATAGATAACAGCAAACACTTGAGCCACGGGGATGTGACACCTTTTGAGGTGCTTACATTATTCTCGCAGCCGTGATCTGAGTGTCTAGGACAGTGCCTGGCACATAGCAAATGCCCAGTAAAGGGTGGTTCCCCTACCCTTGGCATGACAGCCCCAAGGTTTGCAGTGACTTAGGGATGACTGCAATGTCCCAACTCCACACACGTCTTCCTGTATGGAGGTCTCGTCCCAGGGGCAAAGGGATGTGCCATGGCCTTTCATTTCTTTCTTAAGCTCCAGTTTTTGGCTTGACTCTCAGTCACTCTGTCTCTGTGGGAATACTTACAAGTGTCCCGCCTTTCCTCCTTCCCTCCCATCCTTCCTGCCTTCCATCATTTCTCCATCAGCTTCTCTTACTATTTTTATTGATCGCAGTCTTTTCTTTCTTCCTCCCTCCCTCTCTTCCTCTCTTTCTTTTCCTCCCTTCTCCTTCTTTCTTTTTCCTCTCTCTTTCCCTCCTTCCTTCTTTCTCTCTCTCTCTCTCTCTTTCTTAGCTTTTCTGATACATCCTTCAATTCTTTCCTTGCTAAATTTTCTCCTTCCTCCTGTTCCACTTGTTTCTTCCTCATTCCCTCCTTTCCCTGTCTCCCTACTCTGTTTCTTTTTCCCTTGCTTTCCCTTGCTGTTTTAATCTTTCTCTGACTTATGTGTCTTTCCTCTTTCTGTTCCCCTCCCCTTTTCTCTCTGTCATTCCTCCCTCTCTTTCTTCTTTCACATCAAACATGGACGTGTCTTGTGCTAATAACCAAAGAAAGACAAAAATTACATGCATGCCTTTTCATAAAGAATCTCATATCCTCGCAGGAAGGCCGGGGCCCCAAAAGGAAAGAGAAAGGGAGAGAAGAGGAGAGCCCAAATGAGAGCCCCCTGGAAGCCTCACTGGGCCCGGGCTTGCCCAGACATCTTCCACTCCATCTTTCGAAGCTTGACTCGCTCAATTTTCCCTGTGATGGTCTTCGGCAGGTCTGAGACAAACTCCATCTGTTGGGAAAAACCAAGCCAGGGTGGATCATCCATGACCACAATGGGGTTGAGAGCAGGTGTAGTGGATTCCAGGCTTTTTGTTTTTTCTGGTAAGAGCGGTTCCATTTTCCTGTGGGGAGCCACCCCTCTCTCACTCCATCCATGTCATGGTATGGGGCAGTCTTCTCTCTGCCACCCTTCCTGCATTTTAACCAAGGATGACCACATGACCCGGAACTGGCCAATCAGAGGGCTTTCTCCCCCTGGTTACAGGGATTGGTTTAGCAGTCGGGACATGGCCTACATTGGTCCAATGAGAATCAATCTAGAGACTTTTGCTGAGGCTTTTTGGGAAAAAACTTGTTCTTTTCTGTTGGTGTTTGCTAAGCTGCTAAGAATGTATGTTTGTAGCTGATGGGGCTACAGAGAGAAAGCCTTTCAAGAAATGAAGTCAATAGCAAAGAGGGAGAGTCAGAGGTGAAAGAGACATTCCTGGCCTCATCATATGAATGCCTGGGACTAGCTATGATGAAAGCTTTTCCCACGCCTGGATTTTGCAGTTGTGTGAGCAATACATTTTGAGTTAGATTGCTGTCACTTGCAACTGAGAGTTGCATACTCCTGAATGTTATAGCAAGATCCCAGTGCAGAGAGTGGAGCTACAGGCCATGTATTGGCTAGAACTTGTTTCCTTGGAGGCATTTGACTTTTAATTCAGAATCAAAGACTGAGGTCATTTTGGGGGCATCAAGATTGGCTGCTAGATTGTCTTTTGGGCTTTCTTGGTTATAATCAGGAAAAAAATTGCAATTAGAGGCCTCATCCTCATCCTGAAGAAGACAATTATAAGGGGAGAGCCATCTCTTCTTCCCCAACTTTGGGGGAATGTGGGAACCCAAAAGGCTTACCTTCCTTGGGTACTTGTATGGGGCTGTCACTGACTTCACATGCTGCTGCAGCTCCTTGGTGAGCTGGTCCCGGTCACGGGACAGGAACTCTGGGGCCAGGACCACAAATGCCTTTACCACCTGCAGCAAGGATGAGGGCCAAGAGAGAAGGGATTAGAGTATATAGTTATCTCCCGGGACAATGCAAAATCAGTGTTAAGACTTGCCACCACCTTGATATCTCCTCAATTGCACCTCCCAACATCCAGGTCAAGGGAAAGAGAGAAACTGGGGATAAGAATGGCTGAGGTCCCACCTCTCTCTCAAGTGGTTTACTGGATGAGTAGGTAGGACAATAGGTTGAGACCAGCCTCACTGTATACCCCAGGGACAATAGAGACTGATGGGGAGAAAGTACACAGAGGGAGAGAAGAGGAAAATAAAAACTGGGGACCATAACCCTAAGTGATTTAACATCTCCAGACTTCAGTTTGCCTATCTGTAAAATGGGGACAAAATGGTCATATCTTATTAATGGGAAATAAAATGAAATCTATACAGCAGGGCTTTGCTCAGAGTTAGGCACAGGGGGTTTTCTCAGTAGAGGATCCCTAATTGGCCTTGTTTGCCCAGTGGCTCCCATGGTTTCCTGCACATTGTGCTCCACACCTGCTAGAGGTACCATATTGCCAAACTTGTACCCTGCAGAAACGTGGTAGGACATTGATCCACACCTCCACCCTAACCCTTCTCTGCATACATACACAGCTCCACTAGACTCCATCTGGGCCTATTCCTATAACCCTGCCATTACAGGGATCCTTTGTATTTCCCTGATTTTCACAGTGAACCCCATGCCTCATGGGCTCTTTCTCTTGGCTCAAATCCCTCCTCTGTTCTCGTGGTCAGGAATCAGATTCTAATTCAGATTCCAAATGGCATGATGGAATCCCTCCAGCCCCATAACAATGTCTCCTATATGGTGATAACTACATGCTAGGCCTTGTTCCAAATATGAACACATTGAATTCTCATAACAGTCCCTCACCTTACAGATGGGGAAACTGAGCAATATAGAGGCTAGGTAGCTTGCCCAAGGTCACATAGCTAGTAAGCAGCAGGAGCAGGATTTGGCCTTGGCTGCTCAGCCCATGTTCCTAATGGCCACCCTACACTGCCCATGTCCACACACTCCCAGGTGGCTGCTCCCCCATCACCTCTCCTCTGACGGGGTCTGGGCTGCTGACTACAACCGTCTCGACCACAGCAGGGTGATCCATCAGTGCATTCTCCACCTCCGAGGGCCCAATCCGGTATCTGCAGAAGAACCTGTACTTCAGAGAAGACTGGACCCCCAACCTCTAGGCCATCCCCAAAGCCTGGAACCAACCAGAATAAAGATCCAGATTACCCTTCCCAGCCCAGACACCAAGCTCACCCACTGGCATTAATGATGTCATCTGCCCGCCCCAGGAACTGGAAATAGCCATCTTCATCCTTGATTGCTCGGTCTCCCAGGAGCCAAAAATCTCCTCGGATGTTGTCTGCTACCCTCTGGGGATCATTCTGGTGACCACAGGAAGACAGAGTCATTGCACCTGCCAAGCCCAAACCCCCTGCCCCAGTGCTGCTATGAAAAGATGTGCAGGTGCACATTTTACAACTCAAACAGCTGCACATGGTGGACCTGCCCTGAACCTGACAACCCCAGAGCCCAGGTGGAACTGGGTCTTCCCCCTTTATTTCAGTTAGTCCACCCAGGATCTCTCAGCTACTCCCTGGGGTCAAGGGTGATGGATAATACTGATGTATTGCTTCGTTCATGCTCTAGGGCTGCAGTCCCCAACTGCTGGGCTGTGGCTTGGTACCACCAGTCCGTGGCCAGTTAGGAACCAGCCGCACATCACTGCCTGAGTTCCATTGCCTCCCATCCCCATGCAGACCCCTACCCAAGTCCGTGGGAAAATTGTCTTCCATGAAACTTAAGAACTTCGGAACTGGGCGGCACAGCAGGAGGTGAGCAGTGGGCGAGCCAGGGAAGCTGCTTCTGTGTTTACGGCGTTCCCCATCACTCGCATCACCGCCTGAACTCTGCCTATTCCCCCACCCCCTTTCCATGGAAAAATTGTCTTCCATGCAACCAGTCTTTGGTGCCTAAAAGGTCGGGGACCACTGCTCTAGGGCATTTTCCCCAGCTGATTCCATCTTCCTCCGGACAGCCTAACCCCTGCTCACTGCATGACGCTGCTCAAGGCTATCAGTTGGATTAAGCACTTTTCTTGGCTCCTTTATTATATTTTAAAGTTCTGGAGACATACCATGAAGCCCCAGGGCCCCAGCCAATATGCATATTTCTACAGCTCTATTCACCTGAGGCACTTGCTCATGAGCAATGAGAAGGCGTTTACCCTTTGTCGGTGCATCTTCATGCACTATTACTCAGCTACAGCGGTGTGTCCTCCAGATCGGATCTTCAGTTACTGGGTTAGAAGGTGGCATAAAGAATTTGTAGCCTCGCTCTTTCATTGAGGATACAGGAGTATTGAAGGTCACAGAGATCAGGAGGTTTGTGTGCAGCCAAACAGCCGGCAGAACAGAGGCCAGAAGCCAAATTTCTTGACCGTTAGATTGACTGTCTCACAGTCGCCGGGCAGCTGCAGTGACTCTGTTGGCCTTAAGTAAATCTGACAACTCCTCTGAGCCTTTTTCCTTGTGTGTCAAATGAGGAGAAGCCCACGCCTCAGCCACCTTGCTGGCATGTGTGACAAGAGTCGGGTAGTGGAGGGGAAATTCTTGGAGAAGGGCAGAGTGCGGCGGTGCCCTTTCTCGGAGGCTCGGTATTCCTCATTTGTACAATGGGAGTGATAATTTGTATCTACATCAATTCTCTTATATAACACCCTGTTATGTAGCAAGGTACTAAGTGTTTCACAGTTGTCAGTGTCTTTATGTACCCACAATAATGCCATGAGATATGGTGATGCACAACTTACAGGTGAGAAAACGGAGGGATGAGACACTGGTAACTTGCCCGAGATCATACAGTGAAATGGTAGAGAAGGGATTTGAATTCCAGCAAGTTGGTCCCAATGACTTCATGAGGGTGGCTGGGAGGGCTACATGGGTTTAGAGTATGCAGGGTGCTTTAGCACAGTGCTCGCCTTGTAAGGCATTCAATAAATGGTAGCAACTACTATTATTAGATTTGTTATTTATAACAGTTTATTAATTAATTCCCTCGGGGTTCAGAAGGCATGTGTTTGGGGTCTTCTCTACCCGTTTTCCAACAGTTGTGGCCTGGGGTGAGTCTTGTAATCTGTGGTCCACCATCCTCCCTGATCTGTTAAGTGAGGTGGCCGGACACAAAGACGGTCTCTCTCTGCCTCCCCAAGGTCTGAAGCTAGGGATGCCTCCAACCCTACGGTAAAGTCTCAAAGTGTGCTCCCATGGCTCTAAAGGAGATCTGTGGCATAGAGCATGGGGACAATACTCGGGGGGGGGGGTTGGGCTGTCCCTGGAAGAACGATGGTGTATATACTTCAGGGACAACAAGATTTCTGGCATGCACCAGAGGCCTCTTAGGGGTGCAAAGGCTAACTGGAGAAAGACAAGACTTCCAGTGAGATTGTAGTGACAGGCTGAGCCTAGTAAGGGTGAATAGACAGTCTTTTTCTCTTTTGCAAAGCACCCATTCTTGGTCATTGGTCACTCTCTTCCCAAATCTTGCCAATGCCTCTTGGGAGGTACACAACTTTGGGCCTCCGTCATCCCACTTAGTGCTCCCTGTCCCCACAGGGGAAGAGAGGAGGATAGCACAGGTTCCTCACCACATAGCCAGAGAAGATGCCTACAGGTCTGAGGGGTTTGACCCTGATGCCCAGGTCTCCTTCTGTGCCAGGGGGCAGGACATTGCCCTCATTGTCTATGACCTGGAGGAAGAAGCAGAGGGCAAGAATTATCCACATAGCAGGAGACGGCTTGAATGGCAGCATACAAGAGTGAAGGTGGCCAAACGAATGACTCTTTTGCTCCAGTGGGGACTGAAAATGGCAACTAGGAACCAAGGGATGTCAAGAGTCTTAAACTCAGATCTCCGATCCACCTGCCTGGGACAGTTTAGGTGAAGCCTTTTATTGAGACTGGGCCAGATGATCTTGGGAGGCTGCTCCTGGCTCTAGGAGCTCAAGAAAAATAATAGCCTCCCATGATCTCTGAGGCTTACTTCACCTGTGGACTTAAAAATCAGATGGAGCAAAACTCAAGTCATGACTCTGTCACCTTATTAGCTGACTTTGAATGACTTAAGCTCTCTGTGCCAATGCACGTGAAAATCTATACAACAGAGAAATCAATGGCTCATGTCTCAGGATTTTTACATGAATAAAATAAGATACTAAAAGCAGGGCTCAGTAAGTGGTTATCATAGTGGGTGGAGTGGCAGGTAATCACACAGAATACTAAATAGAGTATAAATTGTTGTTACACTTTAGAGATATAGAATTGCACATGTAACCATAGAATCACAAATACAAATTCTAGTTCTTGGAATTGAGCCCAAATATAATAAGAAAAAGGAGCAAAACTTAAGGTACAACACAAAAGTGTTGCTTTTACTAGTGAAAATTCAGTCATCACCCATTGGGCCAAGAGAAGGCGCAAGGATTGATGAGTCCATACCATCAACTACTATTGACCCATAGACATCATGCTGTAGATTGATATTTACTGACCTTGAAAAATAGTTACTCAAGGTTGTTAAGTGATAAAGGCAAGTTACAAGATATTATGTCACGATTCATCCCTATTTCTGTTTTTTAAACCTGCCTTGCTAATGTGCTAGGGGAAAATAAAAGGTGGATTTCTCCGGATGATACGAATATAAATTATTTCCCATTTTCCTCCGTCCCTCTGCCCTCCTCCCCTCCCTCTTTTTTAGATGATCTTAATATCTTTACTTTCCATTAATGTTTTTAACTCAATGAACAATGCAATAAGTAAGTTACTGCAAAACTGGTGTTTTCCCTATTTTCCCTCCCTCCCTAGTGCCCGTAGCAAACCTGCACATCGTAACTGGGAATAGATGTTCCCATGTAGCCTGGTTTGATTTTCATTGTCGTGGAGACTCTGCAAGTGAGCCCCTGTGGGAAACAGCAGACAATTGGCAAACCTCAGGAGGAGACACAAGGTCACAGAAGGAAAATAAAAACAGGATTGAGCAGAGCAGGCTCTGACACTGACCCGAAGTTGGCTCCCATTTGGTGGTTCCTTCCCTCCTCCTCCCCTTGCTCTCTCCCCTTAACCGGGACTGCAATCCCAGGGGTGTCGCTAAGTTGTTCAGAAGGCAACCTGAGTGGCTGCTCCCCTAGGCAGGAGGGGCTGACAACCACATTATAATCTCTTTAGGGCAAGCCTCCCTTTAGTAAGAGATTACAGAGATACCCAAAGCCCTTTTCAAACCGTATTGAATTACCAATTTGCAATCTATGCAGCCTAAAAAAACGTTTCTCAAAATTACCTCCCATGGTAGGACCCGTTCTGCTCAGATTCTGAAAGGAACCCTCCCAACTGAGATGCCGGCGGCCTGAGAAGCCTGCCCTGACCACATCCTCCTCTGGTTGGCCGGGAGCCTTTGCCAGGGTGTGTTGGCCACAACTCCCTTGTCCTCCATATTCGTAAAGCTCTTCCTGAACTTTCCACAGCACAGGGCTGGCCCCAGCCCACTGCGGGAGTTCTGCTGGGAGATCCATTAGGCACAGAAGGATGTAGGGTAAGAGGGTGGAGAGGGAGAGGCAAGAAGCTCTGGGGGTTGCAACAAGAAGCACCGGGAAAAGGAGAGAGATCGCTGAGGGAAAGTGTTCCCCACGTTGTTTCGATAAGTAGCATGGTAGAGAGCAGTGTGCATCTACATTATGCACGTGGGCCTCCAAGGCCTCCAAGATGATATCTGGGCAGGTGCAGTGGAGCCTTCGTGGGCTCCTCTCTCCATCGCTTGCTTCTGTCTGAGCAGTAAGTACATGTTTGATAAACTCAGGTCTCTGCTAGAACGTCTCTTCATCGCAGAGGACTTTTTCGACCATCGCATCTGACTTAGCCACACCTCATCTCATCTCACCTGCTTTGCGTTTTCCGCAGCGTTTCTCACCACCTGCCGTTTCAGACGGGTTCTTAGTTTACTGTCTCCCTCCCCACCTCGCACTAGAATGCAATCTCCAGAAAGCGGGAGCTTGACCTGTTTTGTTCTCTGCTGAATTTTCAATACCTAGTGCCTGTCCCATCGTGGGTACTGAAGAAATATCTCTCAAATTATAAATGGGGGCTAATATATTTTTTTTTGTCAAGGAGACTTGTGAAGCCCCAAAGGTGCACCCCGCCCACGGTGCTCCCCTGGGAACAGGTACCGTTTCTGTCTGGCCATAGACTTCTCGGATGTCCAGCCCCGTCATGGCCCTCCACTTTTCCAGAATTTCCGGAAGGAGGCTCTCCCCTCCACTGAAGCAGTTCTTTAGGTGTGGGAACTTGTAACTGAGGAAGAGAGAGAAGTGGTCTTCCTCAGCATCCCTGGAACAAAAGCCCATCCAGCCCTGGCACTGGGTTCTGGGTGCTTTGATGATGGGCCAGCTTCTTGGGGCTCCCCACGTCAGCGAGTCGGATGGACGGGCATGTGAGTGTGCGGGCAAGGCAGGGGGATGGGTGTTACCAGTGGCTGTTACCAACCCCCCACAGCCCCATCACCTGGAGAGGTCCTGTTGTAGCAACATCCGGAAAATGATGGGGGCGCCCATCAGGTTGGTGACTGGGTAGGTGGATAGCACCTGTAGGAAGACAGGCAGCTGTGACAACAGTCGCCAGACCAGATGCCAAACTTACTGGTACGCACGGTGGTTACAATTGTGGTCTATGGAGTTGTAGAGGTCTGGATTCCTCTACAACGCTAACTCGTCTGCTCTGTTTCAGGCTAAAGGAACCCCACAATTCTCATGTACCTTCAAGACATAAATAACGGAGAAACAAACCCGTATCATAATATCAAAATTCTAGGACTGATTTGGAATTTTTCTTTTTTGTCAAATCTTGGCTGCCTATTGCTGCCAATTTAAGACTTGCCTTCATTAACACAACCTTAGAAGCACAAAAACTACTAATCATCCACAAGAGATCAGCCACTATTGCAGATCAGCTATGTGATCTTAGTTAAGTCCCTTAACCTTCTAGAACCAGCTTTAGAGTACATTATTCCCAGCCCTATTTTCTTGAAAGCATTTTTGGGATGTAACTCACGAGAAAAAGTTCTTTGAAAAGTTAAAAGCACCCAGCATTTCAAAAGAAAGTTTACAAAAAGATGTGGCAGTGAATATTTGCCATGCCGTTTGCTATCTTATTTATTTCTCACAGTAACCTCATGGAGTGGGCGCTATCATCCCCATTATAAAGAGGGGGAAACCATGACTCACAGGGTTGAGTAACTTGCCCGAGGTCACAGGGGCAGCATATAGCAGAACCAGCATTTGCAGCATGCTCTCTTAACTGTTAGATGCTACCATCTCCGTCCCATGCTTAGCTTTGTGGATAATTTATTTATTTTATTTATTCATGCATTTATTTTTTGAGACAGAGTCTCAATCTGTTGCCCGGGCTAGAGTGCCTGGCGTCAGCCTAGCTCACAGCAACCTCAAACTAGTGGGCTCCAGTGATCCTCCTGCCTCAGCCTCCCAAGTAGCTAGGATGTGCGCCACTACACTCGGTTAATTTTTTCTATTTTTAGTGGAGATGGGGTCTCGCTCTTGCTCCGGCTGGTTTTGAACTCCTGACTTCAAGCGATCCTCCTGCCTCGGCCTCCCAGAGTGCTAGTATTGCAGGCATGAGCCACCACACCTGACCTTGTGCAGAATTTAATAGAGCATTGCCTTAGTGTGTTTTATGTTGCTGTAACTGAATACCTGAGACTGGGTAATTAATAAAGAAAAGAAAGTCATTGCTTACAGTTCTGGAGGCTGGAAAGCCTGAGGTCAAGGAGCTGTCTCTGGCGAGGGCCTTCTCGCTGTTGGGACTTCTCTGCAGTCCGGGGGGGTGGGTGTAGGACATCATATGGTGAGGAACTCAGGAGGGATGGCCAAACTGGCTTTCTGTAATAGACCCACTCTCTTTGACAACCCACTAATCTATTAACTCATTGATCCATTAATCCCTCAGGCAGCCTAATCACCTCTTAAAGACCCTTCCTCTTAATACCATGTTTTCCCGAAAATAAGACAGGATCTTATTTTTATTTTTCCTCAAGAAGACACCGTAGAACTTATTTTCAGAGGATGCGTTATTTTCCCCTCAAAGCCTCAGCTTGCAGCACGCACAGGATGGCCGGGACCTGACAGGGGAGCCGACCTTGTTGGTGGGGCCGCCCGCACCTTTCCGGTCACCTCTGGCAGATGAGAAGGGCTGCCCGTCATCTTCACCGCTCCGCGACGAAACGCATGGGTTGTGCAGACGCGCTGCGCAGCCACGCCCATCACTAGGGCTTATTTTCAGGGTAGGGCTTATGCTGTGCAAATGCTTAGAAATCCTGCTAGGGCTTATTTTATGGGTAGGTCTTATTTTCAGGGAAACACGGTACTGGTACGTTGGGATGAAGTTTCACCATGAATTTTGGAGAGAACAAATATTCAAACTAGGCTGGGCGTCGTGGCTCACATCTGACATCCTAGCACTCTGGGAGGCTGAGGTGGGAGGATTGCTTGAGCTCAGGAGTTCGAAACCAGCCTGAGCAAGAGCGAGACCCCATCTCTATTAAATATATTTAAATGATAGCAGTCATTTAAGCAAAGTGTCGAGGAAAAAATGATTAATGTGAGAATATCATGCAATCATTTCCTTCAAATGCTCTTGGTGAACTGATATAAGCTATGAAAATCAACCCCTAGTCCTTATTGCTTTGTCTTACAGGAAGCTCAACTTGCAATTATTTGCTATACTTCTTACTCTCCTTAGTCTTTTTCCTCCCTATACATCCAACCTCTGTTTTCCTAATGAGATTCATAATTGTAGATCAGTTTTCATGCTTTGTTTTGTTAACAAAAGCCAGTTAAAAATTGTGGGAAGGAGGCAGAGTAAGAATCCATTTAAAACAGAGAACAACAGTATCATTTGAAGAGAATCTCCTGAGAGGATTGAGACCACCCCTGACTTTCTGACTTTCAAAATGTCATCCATGCCTTAGTTCACCCCTGGGGACCTCTGTTGTAGCCAAACAGGTGTCTGGGTGGTCGCTCAACTGCTACAGAGATCTGGAAGCCCAGCATGGCAATGACCCAGCCTCTCATCATAATTAGAGTCCAAAATAGGGTGTATCTTTGCAGGAAAATGGGGTCATTTTCATTGCATCATTGCTCCAGGGTAATGAATAACTGTAGTTTGTGGGTTTTACTTAGTGTCTGCTCCATCAAGTTCTACAGGAAAAACATCCTATTTATGCTGCAGAATTCTGCTTAGATAATAAGTCCCAAACTGAAAACAATCCAAATGTTCATCAACAACAGGATGGGAAAAGAAATTGTAGTAGATTCACAGAATGGAATACCATACAGCAATTTAAAAGAACAAATTTATGATACACGCAACATAAAGACTAATCTCACAGAAAATATATTGAGTGAAAGAAGCTAGACACAAAAGACTACATATTACATGATTCCACATGCATGAAGTACAAGAAGAGGTAAAAGTAATCTATGGTGATAGAAGTCGAAAGAATGATTAACTTATCAGGTACAGACATTGTCAGGGAAGGGGCGTGAGTGCTTTCTGCAGCAATGGAAATGTTTCATGAATTCATCTGGCAGTGGTCACACAGGTGTCTGATAGGAACTGAATGCTGTGTACCCCCCTGCCCCAAATTCCTGTGTTGGTATTTGGAGATGGGTGTTTGGGAGATAATTATACGTGGTAATAATAAGGGTGCACCAGTGATGGCATTAGTTTCCTTGTAAGAAGAGGAAGAGACATCAGCACTGTCTCTCTCTACCATGTGACAATATAGCAAGCAAGAAGGTGGCCATCTACGAGCTAGGAAGAGAGCCCTCACCAAGAATCCAATCATGTTGGTGCCCTGATCTAGGGCTTACAGCTTCCAGAACTGTGAGAAGTAAATGTCTGTTGTTTAAGCCAACCAGACCATGGTATTTTATTGTAGCAGCCCAGGATGACTTCAAGACAGTATCTAATGTAGGTAGATTATCTTTCAAGCTGTAAACCTTTAATGACAGCACTCTATGCACTTTAACCTTCAGTATGTGCATTATACCACAAATACAAAAGGAAATACAATGCGCGCGCACACACACACACACACACACACACACACACACACACACACACCCGGGAGGGAGATAACATTGCCCCCAATATTCTACCCCTCTATTTTATATGTGGTTCACCACTATCTGTCTCATATCTGACCCCAGAGGAAGAGCCCATTAAATGTATTTGGTGAACAAATGACCCACAATGCCTGTCTCCTTTTATCAGATAAAAGGAACACACTCCTTTTATCTGCATATGTGTCCCTCTCCTTCCCTAGACCATGAGCTCCATGAGGTCAGGGACCATTTCCATCTTGCTTACTGAACACCGTTTACACATGTGGCCAGCATTTCACAAAAATTAGATGAATTGAAATCAACCACAATAAATTGAACTGTGCAAACCCTGTTCAGAGTAATCTGAACAACCTGTGCAGAACGGATCCTCTCTTACCTTTAGGATGACCACTGGGTCAAACTTTGGCAAGTGATGGATAAATGTGCATGCTCCTGCTGTCCAGGGTTCCAGAAATGCACCTATCATGTTCAGTATCCAAGCTGTGTCTGACACAGTCCATACTATGTCAGAGGGTTTCAGGTCTGTCCAAATGCTGAGAACACAAACAAAACACACGTACATATTGGTGAATGTGTGCTGGGGGTGTGTGGAGCCTGACAGTGTGTGTAGTGGGGGAGCAGTAGTGTGTGCACAAGTGTGTGTATCTGCCTGTGTTTATGTATGTTCGTAGAAATGTGTCTAAGTGTAAGGAGGAAAGTTGTTCTATCTACACATCCTGTATCAACCAGGGGTGAGAGCTTAGAAGATGTGAACCCAGTTGACATGACTTAACAGATAATTGGATCTCATTCTCATTTTATCCCCAAAACTTAGTACAGTTTCTGGCATGCAAGAACCACCCAGGAAAATTTACTAACAAAAAGCATCTAAGTGATGAATATCCTAACAGGGGACTTGCCAAGTTCAAGTTTGGCTGAGTAGAGCTTTGGTTTCCTTTCTCCAAGCATCCTAAATTGCCTAAGTACAGCTGAGGGTCTTACGCAGGGTGAAACTTGTTTCTTTTCTCTCTGTAGGGAAGAATAAAAGGTATTAGGCCTGGCTTAAAGCAAAAATGATTTAGGCTAGACATGAACAACTTCCTTGTGACTGGGAGTTGCTGTAGAATGTGCTCTTTCCTGAAGATGATTAGTACTTTCAGCTCTATAGGGCAATTATATCAGCACATTGGAACCAAATTTTGGGGAATGGGAATCTAATGTCTTAGTTATATTTAAGTAATTTATCCCTCATCTTTTAGAAACTGGATTTTACTATAGCTCTTCTATTAAATAATTTTCACTAACTTACTTAATTTTCTGGGCTCATAGGTAGGATATTTACGCTTTCTTAGTTTTTTGCATTAAAATATTTTTCCATTCTAATAATAAAATTAACATGGCAGGAAGGATCTACTGAAGAAAACCCCAAAGATCTGTAGTTATCATTGCATGAAGATCTTAACACAGTGTTTTCTGATTCCATAGACAGGGCTGATGTAGCAGTGGAAGAAAATTCTGAACTATAAGATCTGTGATCCAGAAATGCCGAGATCTCTTTTCACCTAATTCGTCCAATAATATTTTACACTTCAATGAATTTGCAAAGTAATTTTCTGCTGACAAAAATGTCCTCTTGTTTGATTAGCATCAAAACAAATTACCACCACCCCAAAGGGCAAGATAGAGATCATTGTGGGGAAAATGCCTAGAAACCTTGTGCTAGTATAGGAGGCACATGGCTTAAAACATGGATGAGGTTTCCAGATCCCATGTTAGCCAAAACAGAAGTATCCTATCTCTAGAAGGTCTCTAGATAGCCAGGCATGTGAAGCCATGTGCTTTTCAGCCCTCCCTCCCAGTTGTCTTTCTTAGAAGCACCAGAGGGTAGCCCAGCCTGGGAAGATGGGATTTGAACTCAGAAAAGTCTTCATGCCTGGGCATGCAGTTCTCCGGACAGAGAGTGAAAGGGCTCTGCTTACCCAGCATCTATCTTGGCCTTGAGGCCAAGGCTCGCGTGGGAGTGTTCCACCATCTTGGGAGGGCCGCTGGTCCCACTAGTGAAATAAAAGGCCGCGGCTTCCTGGCTTCCGGTCTCCACACAGCGGTGAGTGGCGGATGCCTCTCTGAAGGAGACACATACAGTCACTTTCTCACATCTAGCCTAGACACCAGCTGTCACAGTCTTTCCTTATCATCTCCCATGTTGACCATGGGCAAGTCAGTCCACCCACTTCAGAAGGGAGACTTTGGGGAGGTTAAGATCGGGGGATTCTGAGTCGGTTAGACTTGCATTTGAAAACCACTCAGGTCTGGCACTTTGTGAGCTATGTAACTTTGGACTAGGTAGGTAACTTCTCTGAGCCTCACTTTCAATATCTGTGAAGTGGGATCAATAATACCTGTCTCACAGAGTTATTGAGAAAGTTAACTCCACCACTAAAGAAATAAGCAGTTTGCTTAGCAAGAACTCAATAAATGGTACTCTAATTATTGTTAAAATCCCTTGCATACCAAGAACATGGGAATTATGTAATTATTACATATTTTCCAAGTACTTTCTTGGCACCCTCTTCTTTTCTCTGGAAACACTCACACATCTCTTGGACACTTCCTCTAGTGTCTTGATTTTGGACTCAGAGCTGGTATCATGTTGTTTATTTCTTTGACAGTTACCTTAAAGACCATGACATTAAGAAAGGAAAAGTGGAAGTTCTCCCTAAAAGATTCTAAAGGTTCCTAATGGAGAGCTATGAGACACATGACAGAGAAACTCATTCATCCAGCCAGTTTTGCTATCAACTTTTGAAGGACACGTAAAGCTTCCTCTGTCCTTGAGAAGCCTAGTTGAAGGACACAGAAGGTGGGAAGAAGAGCCTAGAAACAACATATCAGCCATCTCTTGGGTTTTACCTCATATGCTCTTGGCCTCACCTCTGATTTGAGCCATTTGCAGTGAATGGTTCTGGGTGGGCTTCAACCTACTGGTGTTGAAACCATGTTGTTTCTAGTGGGCACCACAAGTGATTCACTTTGTGCCCCATGGTCTTTGTGCCCATGGTCTCTGTTGCCACCATGACATGGGACTCTGATCCCACTCTTCATGCAAGTGTGGACAGTCCAGATGTGTGGAGCAGACAACACCCTCAGGATAATCCTCAACCAATGGGAGCCAGGTGCTGATGTGGCAATATTCATCAGCCCTTTAGTGGAAAGTTCTGGGAGACATTCTATGTGCTCCTCAGAAGGTCCCAGCAGATAAAGCGTCACTTAGCCCTTGCAATGTCTCAACAAAAAACTCTGTATTGGCTTTTATTTCCTCCATGCTTCACTCTTCCTAGTCCCATGCTCTACTTCCTGGACCTCCCAGATAAAGCACCTGCACATACATGCTTGGCTCAGTTTTCGCTTTTGGTGAAAACACAGGTCGAGACACGGAGATACTCACTTTAGTAGTGTGTTGAAGTTCAGCCACCCGTCTTGGCTTTTCTCAGACACCAGGACTTTCATTCTCAGAGAAGGACACTTAGGGGCCACCATGTCTACTTCTTGAGCCACTTCATCTCCAGCCACAATGACCTTGGCCTTAGACAACTGCAGCCTATAGAGTATGTCAGCAGATTTCATCTGGACAGTCCCAGGTGTGAAGATGAGTCCTAGAGAAGGCAAATGGCTTAGAGAGCTGGAAGGAAGGGCTGTCTTTGTTTCTAGGCAAGCCCGATATAAAGATGCAGCGGGAAGCAAGTGGGGAAGGGGAGGGTAGAGTAGTGTTGAACAACAAGGAGTATCAATAATAAGGGAAGTGAGAATCAGGGAGTGACTGTAACAGAGGTTTTCCTGGGTTGTCAGAGCTGTGAGTGCCCTACTGAGGCTAAGAAAAGAAATCGAGTTGCCCAATGTCACACTGTTGATAGTATAAGACGTATACACAATCCTCCCCACTCACTCTCACTCCTCTAAAAAAAAAAAAAAAAAAAAAAAAAAAAAAAGAAAGAAAAAAATCCTAAAGAGGTTAGCTGAAACGCACAGTCTCATGCAGTAATTAAAATCATGACGAAAGGCACTTGGAATTGTCCATGGTCCTGAAATATCCATACCATGGTCCTGAAATATCTTGGTGCTCTGGGTCCCAGAAGCTATGAGACAATGACAGAGAAACTCATTCATCCAGCCAGTTTGCTATCAACTTTGAAGGACACGTAAAGACTTCCTCTGTCCTTGAGAGCCTAGTTGAAGGACACAGAAGGTGGGGAAGAAGAGCTAGAAACAACATATCAGCCATCTCTTGGGTTTTACCTTCATATGCTCTTGGCCTCACCTCTGATTTGAGCCATTTGCAGTGAATGTTCTGGGGTGGGCTTCAACCTACTGGGTGTTGAAACCATGTTGTTTCTAGTGGGCACCACAAGTGATTCACTTTGTGCCCATGGGTCCTTGCTGCCCATGGTCTCTGTTTGCCCCCATGACATGGGACTCTGATCCCACTCTTCATGCAAGTGGTGGACAGTCCAGATGTGGTGGAGGCAGACAACAACCCTCAGGATAATCCTCAACCAAGGGAGCCAGGTGCTGATGTCAATAATTCATCACCCCCTTTAGTGGAAAAGTTCTGGAGACATTCATGTGGTCCTCAGAAGGTCCAGCAGATAAAGCGTCACTTAGCCCTTGCAAGTCTCAACAAAAAACTCTGTATTGGCTTTTATTTCCTCCATGCTTCAACTCTTCCTAGTCCCATGTCTTACTTCCTGGACCTCCCAGATAAAGCACCTGCAATACATGCTTGGCTCAGTTTTCGCTTTTGGTGAAAACACAGGCCGAGACACGGAGATACTCACTTTAGAGTGTGTTGAAGTTCAGCCACCGTCTTGGCTTTTCTCAGACACCAGGACTTTCATTCTCAGAGAAGGACACTTAGGGGCCACCATGTCTACTTCTTGAGCCACTTCATCTCCAGCCACGATGACCTTGGCCTTAGACAACTGCAGCCTATAAGGAGTATGTCAGCAGATTTCATCTGGACAGTCCCGGTGTGAAGATGAGTCCTAAGGAAGGCAAATGGCTTAGAGAGCTGGAAGGAAGGGCTGTCTTTGTTTCTAGGCAAGCCCGATATAAAGATCCAGGGGAAGCAAGTGGGGAAGGGAGGGTAGTGTTGAACAACAAGGAGTATCAATAATAAGGGAAGTGAGAATCAGGGAGTGACTGTAACAGAGGTTTTCCTGGTT